ACTCTGCGTGACCAAACGTCCCGCAAGGCTGACCAGTCCGAGCACCAGTGCGAATGACGTACGGACAGCGAGCAGTACCCCGTGACCCGTCACGCTGAGCGTACCACTCACGAAGCTGCTGGGGCGAAAGGACCGCGCACGGACGACGCTGCAGATGCACCTGGCCACTACAAGCAGCTGCCGAACTACTCACTCCAGGACGACTCCCACTACGGCCACCCCGACAACCCCAAGTAGCGTACCACTCACGAAGCTGCTGGGGCGTGAGGGACTCACGCGGACGTCGCTGGAGCTGCATCTGGCCACCGCCAGGAGCAGCAGGAGCAGTGGTAGCCGCAGTAGCAATAGCAGTAGTCGCAGCGCGGCCACCCCTATAACCCCAACTAGCGTACCACTCACGAAGCTGTTGGGGGGTGAGGGACTCACGCGGACGACGCTGGAGCTGCATCTGGCCACGCCAGGAGCAGCTGTAGCAGTAGAAAGAGCAGTAGCAGCAAGAGCAGCAGTAACAGCAGTACGGGCAGGGCAGTGCTCACCAGTGGCGAGAAGGGCAGGCGTACGACGGCGGCAACGGCGAGGCCGCTACCACTGTAGGGCGAGGGCTCCGCGGCAGCTGCAGGGGCGGCTGCTCCAGGGCGGCAGTTGTAGGGGCGGCTGCTCCAGGGGCGGCTGCTCCAGGGGCGGCTGCTGCAGGGGCGGCTGCTCCAGGGGCGGCTGCTGCAGGGGTGGCTGCTCCAGGGGCGGCTGCTGCAGTGGCGGCTGCTCCAGGGGCGGCTGCTGCAGGGGTGGCTGCTCCAGGGGCGGCTGCTGCAGGGGCGGCTGCTCCAGGGGCGGCTGCTGCAGGGGCGGATGCTCCAGGGGCGGCTACTGCAGGGGTGGCTGCTCCAGGGGCGGCTGCTGCAGTGGCGGCTGCTCCTGGGGCGGCTGCTTCAGGGGTGGCTGCTCCAGGGGCGGCTGCTGCAGTGGCGGCTGCTCCAGGGGCGGCTGCTCTAGGGGCGGCTGCTCCAAGGGCGGCTGCTTTAGGGGCGGCTGCTTCAGGGGCGGCTGCTCCAGGGGCGGCTGCTGCAGGGGAGGCTGCTCCAGGGGCGGCTGCTGCAGTGGCGGCTGCTCCAGGGGCGGCTGCTGCAGGGGCGGCTGCTCCAGGGGCGGCTGCTGCAGTGGCGGCTGCTCCAGGGGCGGCTGCTGCAGTGGCGGCTGCTCCAGGGGTGGCTGCTGCAGGGGCGGCTGCTCCAAGGGCGGCTGCTGCAGGGGCGGCTGCTCCAGGGGCGGCTGCTGCAGGGGTGGCTGCTCCAGGGGCGGCTGCTGCAGTGGCGGCTGCTCCAGGGGCGGCTGCTTCAGGGGCGGCTGCTCCAGGGGCGGCTGCTTCAGGGGCGGCTGCTCCAGGGGCGGCTGCTGCAGGGGAGGCTGCTCCAGGGGCGGCTGCTGCAGTGGCGGCTGCTCCAGGGGCGGCTGCTGCAGTGGCGACTGCTCCAGGTTCGGGATAGGGCAGGGCGCCGCGGCGGGCAGGGGTGACGCCACGCGGGTCCCGCAGGGGCGTCGCGACGCACAGGAGCCGCGCCTCGCGGGTCCCGCAGGGGCGACGCGACGAGGCGGGGGCGACGCGGCGGGGCCGCGACTGGCGACGGGGCGAGGCCGCGAAGGGGCCGCGAAGGGGCCGCGAAGGGAGCCGTGAGGGGGCCGCGAAGGGGCCGCGAAGGGCCCGCGAGGGGGGCCGCGAGGGGGGCCGCGAGGGGGCCGAGAAGGGGCTGCGAAGGGAGCCGTGAGGGGGGCCGCGAGGGGGGCCGTGAAGGGGCCGCGAAGGGGCTGCGAAGGGGCTGTGAAGGGGCCGCGAAGGGGCCGCGAAGGGGCCGCGAGGGGGCCGCAAGGGGGCCGCGAAGGGGCCGCGAAGGGGCCGTGAAGGTGCCGCGAAGGGGCCGTGAAGGGGCCGTGAAGGGGCCGTGAAGGTGCCGCGAAGGGGCCGTGAAGGGGCCGCGAAGGGGCCGTGAAGGGGCCGTGAAGGGGCCGTGAAGGTGCCGCGAAGGGGCCGTGAAGGGGCCGCGAAGGGGCGGCGAAGGGAGGCCGCGAAGGGGCCACGAGGGGCCTGAAGGGGCCGCGAAGGGCCGTGAGAGGGGCCGTGAGAGGCCGTGAGAGGGGCCGCTACGGGGCCGTAGGGGAGCGCGACGGGCCACTAAGGGCAGGGGACGCGACGGGAGGGTAGGCACACGGGGCGCGACTCGGGCAGGGGCGAAGCGTGCTCCAGGCAGGAAAAAAAAAAATCGATATTCGGTGGGCCCTAGGAAACGTTCCCACTAGGGAACCTGCTCTATACCATGTGAAAGAACGAGGAATGAATGCACTGGCAAACAGGTGGGTACAAGTAGGAAAACCTAAAAGTGTTGTACCCCATATTGTCTACCCCACTACAGCCTACACAGACTATAGCATATGAGTTTGACAGGCTGGGCTCGCAGGTACTGTAGGGACTTGTGGTCCGTGCGAACAGTGACGTCGGCGCCCACCAAGTAGCAGCGCCACAGTTTGAACGCGTGTATTATGGCGAGCATCTCCTTGTCGTGGATCGGGTAGTTGCGTTCGGCTGCCTGCAGCTTGCGTGATTTGTAGGCTATTGGCTGCAACCCGTTCCCGAAATCTTGAAGTAGCACAGCTCCGATGGCGAAATCTGAGGCGTCGGTGACGACTTCGAACGGCTTCGATGGGTCGGCGATGCGCAGCACAGGAGGGGAAACGAGAAAATTCTTGAGTTCATGGAAAGCCGCTTCTGCCTCCTCCCCCCACAAAATTCCTGTCCTTGTGCAGCAGGTCGGTCAGCGGGCCGGTTATCCCCGCCATATTCGGGATAAACCGCCTGACGTAATTCACGAATCCCAGAAAACTCTGGAGTTCCATGACATTCGTCGGGGACTTCCACTCCTGTATGGTTTTGATCTTCGCCGGGTCGATTTTAATGCCGTTGCGCGAAATGACGTGCCCCAAAAACTCCAACTCCTGCTTAAAAAAACTCGCACTTAGAGCCCTTGGTGATGAGTCGGTTCTCCTGCAGCCGCTTAAACACTACATCCAGGTCGCGGAGGTGCTGCTCCCTTGTCTTGCTAAAAATCAGGATATCGTCCAAGTAGACGATGACACATCGGTCTAGAAGATCCCGAAAAACCCTGTTCATGGTCAGTTGAAATGTCGAAGGCGCGTTCGTGAGGCCGAAAGGCATCACTGTAAATTCGTAACTCCCGTAGCGTGTGCGAAACGCAGTCTTGTGACAGTCGTCGGCGAAGACTCGAATCTGGTGGTAACCGCCACGTAAGTCAATTTTCGAGAAATAACGAGCGCCGCGAAGTTGGTCGAGGAGGTCGTCGGTGCGTGGGATTGGGTAGCGAGACTTGATTGTGACCCGGTTCAGCGCGCGATAGTCGATGCACATGCGAAGTCCGCCGTCCTTCTTCGGAGTGAACACGATTGGTGCTGCGAAGGGAGATGTGCTGGCCCGAATGAACCCTTTTTCCAACAGTGCGTCAATTTGACTTCGCAGTTCCTCGAGTTCCGGCTGGGTCAACCGCCACTGTGTCCGAACAGTCGGCTGCGCGCTAGGTTCCACCTGGATTTTGTGGTCCTCAGGTCTCTCGGGTGGCAGTCCAGGTGGCAGATCGTCGGGGAAAATGTCGGGGTACCTCCGAATCAGCTCCGCTAAATCCGGTGGTACAGCTGCACACAGCTTCTCGATGTCCTTTCCGTCGGTGTCAACTGCCAACTCGCGTAAGCAGACAGCGAACAGCTGCGTGCCTTTGTTGAAGTGGCGAGCTATAGTGATAGCTTTGACGCACGGGGCTTGGATGTAGTCAGGTGTCCATGCAGACAGCTTAATTAGCCCCTCGTGCTTGTTGATGCTGCACGATCCCGTTGTCCAGTCGATGACGGGGTTGTGCCGTCGCAGCCAATCACGTCCTAGCAGCACGTCGCAGCCGTCCAATGTTGTCGCGAGAAAACTTCATGCTGAAGCCGAAATCGTCGCCGCATTCGATCCTGAGCGTCCGTGTTTGTTCCGTTATCGCCAGAGGCGTCCCGTCCACGAGGCGAGCGTCAATTTCGGGCAGACACCTGTCAAGTTGCAGCTTGCATTTTTTTGCGCTCGCCAAGTTGAAGAGGCTATGGCTGGCCCCCCCATCGACGAACATTTTCAAGTTATTTTTTAACACCTTGCCAGCGACCAGCACAGGGTGATCCACATGTGTATCCCCGTTATTCGGCCGAGTGCGATCGATTGCATGAATCGGAACCACGACTCGGTGGGGATGGTGGGGTTCGGGCGACGGAGCACAGTCAGTAAAGGGCCCGCTAATTACTGACTCTTCCCATTTCCCTACTCCTTCCTGTCGTTCCCCGTCAGCGGCGTTTTCTGGTGGCAGTCTTTCATGTAGTGACCCGTCTTCCCACACCAGTAACACGGTCCCTTAGGAGGGCGGTCGGGTGTATGGACGACGTTGATCGTGGCCCGATGGGTCTAGCTACGAAAGCGGTTTCCATCCCTGGAAGCTGCTCTCGCGTACTGCATCAGCGCATCTGTAGACTCCGCCAGCCGTACTGCTTCAAGAAACGATGTCGGGCGGCCCCTGCGAACCTCGTACTGTATCTCGTATTTGAGGCCGCTGATATATTTATCCAACCGCTCATCTTCCGACATATCATCAACTTGGTCGGCGAGGCCCATAAATGACGCCGTGTAGTCTTGGACAGAAGCCATCTGCGACCATGCACGCAGCTTCATGCGAGCTTGCTCCGAGGCGGATATGTGCTCGAAACGGTTTCGCAAGGCTACGCCCCACTCCTTCCACGTGCGTATCGTGGTCACACTAAAGATTGATTCTGCCACTTGATTAGTCGCTGCAGAGGTCCCGTCTGCCGCATGTGTCACACCTGTCGGCGTCCCTATTTCCAAGGTTTGGCGCCACCACTCAAGCGCCGCGCCCCGAAGAAGCGAAACCGCGGAATTAATACGCGTGGCATCGTCGTTAACGCCCGCAGACCTCGAAACCAAACAGCCACCCCTTCACTGTAGTCGTTTTGTCCGTAGGATTAAACGGGGGCGGGTTGACGGGCTTGATCTTGATCGTCGTTACTGCAGGTGGCGCCGCTGCCGCTCGCTGCCTATCCTCTTCTTCGAAGTCACGTGTGAGCGCATCCAGCGGATTGCTCATCGCCTGACTGTTGCCCTCGCCTTCGTCCACAGGCGACTCCTGACGCGCTTCACCTCGCGTCTGGCGTAGCTCGGCGTTTTCCTCTCGCAGTGTTGTCACTTCCGCCATTAATGTCTTCATGCTCTTCTGCATTTCTGCCACTTGTGCCATCATCCTGTTCACCGCCTCCTGATCCATATGCCTAGCGCTACGTCTGGTGGGCAGTCGGGTCTCTGTGGCCTTCAGGCAAGATTGAATTAACAATCCCTGCAGCCAACCGTCGTGTAGTCACTAAAACAGCCACACCCTATCCCACCAAACTACCCTCGGAAAAGCGGGGTGAACTAGGAAAGTAGCTCTGATACCAGGTGTTATGAGTTGTAAAAGAGAGTGCGCAGGTAAACGAATAACGAGGCTGTGATAAACTGATATGAGAATACAATGAAGGAACGCACTAATGTAGGAGCTAGCCTAGCTAGGAGGAAACCTCGGACGAGCGAGGTTGGGGTGCAAGTTTGGCGATGGGAAATGCCGAAGGCGACGCGAGGAGCCTCGGCAGCGTTGAAATCGGCCGAACGTGCAAAGTCTGAAAATCGGGATGTACGCGTAGCAGTCAACCCCGATAAGGAATTCGGGAAAATTCCTTACAAGAGCCATGTAGCGAAACATTATTTCAATGTACTGGTATACTCACTTGTTAATTAATAAAATATATCAAACCACCCAAATCCAGCTGCTACTTTGTCACTGGCAGGTTTCAGGCTGGCAGAATATAATAAATAAACGACATCCAAACAATGAAGAGCTTTAAGAGAACATTTGCACACAACCTCAAGTCACAAAACCTGTCTGCCGTTGCAGCCACCGACCTCTCCCATTCACCACCCATGGCATCCGCAATACCTCCTCCGCACTTGGCCGGTGCTTCGGATCTGCAGCCAACAATCTCCTCACCACATCCTTCGCCTCTCCCGACACACTCACCCATGCCGCCGTCCCCATAGGAAGCTGCGCCCGCCGAATATTCAACAACAGCAGCCGAGTGCGCCGCCCAGAAAACGGCAGCTGGCCGCCCGACAACACCATGTACAGACAAATTCCGATGCCCCAGACGTCTGCAGGGAAGCTGACGGGGAGCCCTGCCGCCACCTCAGGTGCCACGTAGGCAGGGCTGCCAACAAGGCCTCGTGTGGCTGCCTGCCCTGGCCGAAGCTTCTCTGCCAGGCCAAAGTCAGCCAAACGCAGCCCTTGCACTTCACTGAGAGCAGGGAGAGGGGTATTGTTGGAGTGTTGGTGCTGCTGCTTGCATGCACAGGTGCACAAGGGGAGTGCAGCAGCAACAGCAGCAGTACAAATGGAAAGTTCCGAACGGCCTGCCTTGAAAGACTGCTCCCCATCCTCCATTTGCTGCATCAGCTGCTGATGCTGATGCTGCTCCTGCTCCTGCTTCTGCTGCTGCTGCTGCTGCTGCTCCTGCTGCTGCTGCTGCTTCTTCCGCAGGCTGGTTCGACCCAGCCAGCTGGCGAGAGAGCCAGAGCGCCTGTGCCCATGCGCGTTCCCATGCACGCTGCCATGCACCCTGCCATGCCAATGGGCCCCACCAGCGTGGGGTGGATGGGCAGCAGCAGAACCCACACTGGCTGCCTGATAGCGCCCTGACTCTGCTGCCACGAGCCTACCCCTCGCCCCACCAGCCTCACCGTCGGCAGCATGAGCACCAGCAGCTGTGGCGAGGATAGAAAAGGAGGGGCTCTTGCGCAGAAACTCACTGCTTGGCTTTAATGATGTTGACTGCCCCACTGACGTTGACCGCCCCACAACACGGGCAGAACGGAAATTTTGGTCCTCGGAGGACGCAGCTGTGGTGCAAGGGGAACGTGGAGAGGCGTGGGTGGTGATTGGCTGGGAGCTGGGCGGCAGAGTCAAGAGAACGTTCTCTGGTTTGATGTCTCGATGTAAGATGCCCCGTTTGTGGCAATACGCCACCGCTGCAGCGATCTCATAGACTATCCACGCTGCTTCGTCCTCCCACTCCTGCTGCCTCCTCCTCCCCTCCTCCGTCATCCCTCCATACACCACCGCTCTACTGCTCTCTCCCCCTCCCGCTCCTGCTGACTCAGCTCCTGCCGACGTGGACAATCCTGCAGCCCCTGTGGCCGGCGAGAACCCCGCATTAGTTCGCCCCGCGAACGACGCCGCAGCAGCCGCTGCTGCCTCCACGAGTTGCGCTAGCTCGCCCGTCGATGCAGACTTCTCCATGCCCTTTCCCGTCAGCGCCTTTCGCGGCACCCAATCAGCTTTCAGCTGCGACGCCACGGAATCTTCGTCCTCCTGCTCCGTACCATCGTCCTCAATCCTTTCACTCTCTCTACAACTCTCCCCCAATCTTTCTTCGTCTCGCATCCTATGCCGCCAATCGCGGCCTGCTGAATCAGTCCCTTCCAGCGCCTCCACCCCCTCGTTCGGTCCGCCTTCTTCCTCCGAGTTCGATTCCCACGTCGCCGCCTGATACCATCTGTGAGGACTGCTCTCCGCATCTGACGCCACTCCCGTCGCCGGCGGTGACGGCGAGGCGTTTCCAGAGTCTGCGGGAAGGAAACCGACAGGCGAGCGATCTCCCCCGGCAGCGAAGCGCGCTGAGGGTCGAGCGACTTGGTAGGAGTGCAAGGGGCACGGGGTAAAACCCGAAGCCGGAATTGCGGTGGAAGAGGCGGCGGGAGAAACAGCGGCAGGAGAAACGACGGCAGGGGCGGCGGCGGCGGCCAAGGTGGCGACTTGGCCGCGGCGGCGTTTCTCGAGGAATTCGGCGAGCGAGCCGCCGCGGCAGAGCTGCATGACGATGTGGAAGTGCTGCCGGCCCTCCACCACGGATAACACCTGCACCACGTTACCCTGCCCCACAGTACCCTGCCCCACAGTACCCTGCCCCGCTGCTAGTGCATCCGCCGCCCCAAAATCCACAGCGCCTTCCGCCACAGAAGCTACAGCCGCTTCGGCTAAAACGGTTTGACTTGCGGATACGATCCGATCCGGCTCGTCATCCTGACCGGCTGTAGTAGCCGACCCGAGCATGAGGCTGATTTCAGCTTCCGATTCGACCAGTCGCTGCTGCCGAGCCACATCAGCCTCGGTCACCTTGGTTCGGATTAGCGACGGAAGGGCGCTCTGGCGCGCTTTAGGGATGCTCTTAATGGCGACGCGGCTGCTCGTGGCGCGATCTACGGCCTCGTAGACGGAGCCGAACCGGCCGCTGCCGATTCGGCGAACGATGGAATAACGCGATCGGATGCTGCCTTTCGTGATGGTTTGTACCGAATTTTGATTGGCGGGGAGGTTTCTATCCTCGATTGTAGCCATATCGTTTAGGTCTTGCGGCGGTTTCTCGTTTGGTTCTGCTGGCGTGGACGCGGGTGGAGGAGGGCGAGGGAGAGGGAGAGGAACGCAAGCGAGGGGATATGGGACGGAGGAGTCTAACGCAGCGCGAGAGACCACCGATGCCGTCGCATGGGCATCAGATTGGAATGATACCTGCACGGACCGGCTCGACGGCGTGTCGTTATGAGAGTGAAATGCCTGAAGCGGCTGGAAGGCCTCTGGAGAACCGGTTCTGACGGAATCAACGTCCGCCATGACTGCGTGCGGCGGGCCGCGGTGCGCGTCGGTATTGCAGATACCACTCTTCCCTACGTAATACATTCTGGCTTTGAGGCTAGTGTAGCATCGTACGGAAGCTCCAAGCAGGTTGGCTGGGGGAATGGTGCTAGGTAAGGACGCGATCCTGCGATCGATCCTGCGCAGGGTCGAATGTTTTAGGAGTTTAAAATGGTATTAAAAGATTCAAATGCTTTCAGCAGAAATTCAGTACGGTTGATTCAGCGATCCTGCGATCGATCGTGCAAAATTGCTTGAGGCGCCGCGTGCTAAGGGTGTGATGGTGGCTTGCGAGAGGAAGGAAAGGATGGTGCTTGTGGTGCAGGTATTCAGAGAAGAGACCCTAGTCGCTGAGATTCCCTGGCAGCCCTGTCTACTTTGATTGGGCCACGCTGCCATTTCAGGGTGGAACATTCCTTGTACTACAACCCAATTCTGGTTTCATCCCGATTCAATGATTCCTCCCAGAACGCACCCACTGGTGTGACTTGGCATCGCGACTCGATTGGTCTGTCGCATTGAGCACGCACGATCACTCGATGTGTCCCAAGTCACGGCAGATCCAGCCAACCATTGTGAATCCCTCGATCGCACCCGTTCATCCGGACGGAGTACAGCACAAAGCTGGAAGCCAACCATGCAATTTGCTGGTCCAAGTCAGCATGCCTAAGCTGTCCTGAAGGAGTATCCTGACGACGTGGCGACGAACATGTGTCGGTGAGGTGATGCCATGACGACAGCAACTTTGCATTTCGGTTGTGGAGAAGCTTCCCGTCATAAACTCACCTATAGACAACTAGGGTCACGATATTAGAATGTTCTAATGCGCACACCGTAATCTCATATATTGCTGTTTTGCGTACAGTTTACAGCTTTCTAGAAAATGCAGATTTGCACGAAATTACCAAGCCGAGTGTTGTCTCCGCTATTGGAACAGACGGCGGCGGCCCGTGCCTTTATGCCGTCATACTGTAACGGCTTGCCTGATTACAGCGGTATTTTCGGCGGCGTCGCCTCGACTGCGGTTCGGCAACAAACCATTGAGACCTCACTTTTGACACTGCTCTACCTTCGTAACTAGGAGAGCCACCATGATATATCCAAATGTAACACGTCAAAACATGATAATACCGAGGGAATGGCCCTCGGGCAGGGACCTAAAGAAAAAACAGTCGCGAAGACAATGGCATTGTCAATTGACCCTCTGCAGATGTCATGTCAACAGATCTCACGTTCCCAACCACTCGCAGAGAATTCGTGACGATGCGCGGTCGCCCCAACTGGTCTCGTGCACGGTGTACGAGTCGCAAAATCGACGGCCACGCCTTGGTCGTTCAAGCTTTGTTTCCTCCCCTTCTGTTCGGTAATTACCGAGCCAGTGCCGTGGGTCACCTGCTTGCTTGGGGTTGCGCCGAGCGCGCACATCATTGTCCCAACAAATTCATTCCCACCAATCATGGTGCAGAACGATGAAAGAGGATTGGTTTACAGGACCTTCTCATACACAGACAGAGGCACGGATTAGGTTAGGTTGCTCTGTTGATGCTTGTGGTTCCTGGTTCCCTTCAACGACACATGTTAGAGCACAGAAGAATGATGAGTAGGTTTACTGGTGTATATATTAGAAGCCTTCTCAGTCACACCACCTGGTGCTTGCACCAGTGTCTGTTCATTCCGTCCGCTCGTAAATCCTGGTCAGCGAGTTGTGTCCCTCTACGTCCTAGTTCTTTATGTACCGTGGATATAGCTTATCAACAGAGTGTTGGGCAGGATCTAGGCAGAATCTACTAAAGTAACGTGGGTGTCGCGTCGTGCATTCTAGCCACAGCTCCCTGTCGCGTAAATCATCAGCATTGTGGGAACTCATCCGTTGCAATCTTTCACCGTAACTATGGCCGTAGCATCCGTCGCATGCGAGTCAGCATCCGTTCGTCTGGAGCCTCCCAGTCTGGCAGCACCATCAGAACTGCGCTTGTCAGGAGTTGAACCCACGCCTGTCGTAGAAACCCCACAAGACCAACACCACGGCGGCATTTCGGGTCTCGACGCATCCCTTGCGATCCTCAGCTCCGCTCACGCCGCTCTCTTAGACTCCCCGTGCGGGTCCTCCCTATCCGCACTCTCGTTCTCCGTCGCCGTCTCCCTAACCCAGGCCCTGCACAACGGGCTATGCGCGTCCGGCAAGATTCGAACCCACGTCTCCCAGTTCATTCTCGAGTGCCTGGAGGATATTGAGGCGGAATTGCCGCACATACATGCGCCCCCCGTCGACTGCTGGGAATGGGACCTCGTCGCAGGTCCCCTGCCTGTGCTTGCCACTCACCATCCTGACTCAGAGTCGCCGTCTTACGATAACGGTCAGGCTATCAGGCCGTCGAGATCGTCGTCGCTGTCTAAGACGGCGTCGAATGCGGCGGTGAAGGCGGCGGTGCGGGCGGAAGGCGCGTCGCGGGGTCTGCGCGTGCAGTGGCTGGACGAGGCGAAGGGCGCGGCGCTGGCTGCCGTCAGGGAATTCCGTCGCTGGTGCGTGACGCGGGGAATTGCGGGTCGTGCGCGGATTAGGTGGTTGAAGGGAGCGGGTTCGAATGCGGGGAACTCGCTGGTGCGGGTTGGCCGGTGTGGGGGAGGCAGGGGTGGAAAGATTAGCGGATGAGAGTGCGTGCGGTATGGTCTGGCTAGGTTGTGCGGTATGGTCTGGCTAGGTTGTGCGGTATGGTCTGGCTAGGTTGTGCTGGTATGGTCTGGCTAGGTTGCAATGCGTGAGGCTCGACGCTTCAGTACGACTTTGCTCTCCCACTTCATTTTTCCAAGTACATGGAGAATTGTGGATCTTAATATTGTGTTCCCCCGCATATTTGTCTCCCCTGTCTCTGCAGTGATCATGAAGCCGCCGCGATGGGCTACCGTACCGAGTCGTGCTATATCGAGGATAGTTCCTGCAGCTGCTCGCTCCAATAACACCATTAGTCATTAAGATAGGACGGGTATACTCGTTGTCGTTATTACACCCGCGTTCCCCATCCGTTGACATAATAAGGGGTTGATTTCTACATGTCAGTTCATTAGGGCTTGGGTAAATAGCTTTCGCGGGGGTACTACTAGGGACCCCGCGCTTTCTAGGAAGCTACAGTGCCAGCTGGGGGCACTTTCCGCCCCTCCGTACCTCAGACAGGGGAATTATAGAAACAACACAACTCTTCCCCACATTCACCCACGTGTCACAAATTTGGGTTTTTTATAAAACGCACGGCAAAAAAAAAAAAAAAAACCCATAGGGAACCTGGAGTCATTTTCGGGAGGGATCAACCCTAAACATTGGAACCCACATTTTTTTAGGGTTGATGCCTCCCCGAGACGCATCCCTTCCCGATTGGGTTTTAGTTTTTTCGGTCAGGTAAAGGGATATTTTTTCCGGTGGCTTGCGAAATTTGTGACACGTGGGTGAATGTGGGACCGAGTTCTGTGTTGTTGCCATAATGTTCCGGGTAATTACATTCTGGGTAACCAACATCGAGCCCGCTGACGTCAAAAGTCACCTACGTGGCTCGATGGTACCCGTCAGATCATGCGCACCCCTTGGTGGTACTCATCTTCCCTCCGTGGTACCCATCTTCCCTGCGTGGTACCCATCAACTGTGCGTGAATTCCCTGACTGGTACCGCAACATTTCAACCGAGCTGTACACCGTACAACAAGGGTTTCAATGCGATTTTCACTATATTATACCAACGTTTTCTGTCTGCAATTGAACATTAATACATTTGAACATTAATGCCTTTGAACGTGCCTTACACTGGATAGAGTGCAACCTAGAAAAAATCAACTCCCCTTCTAAAATCCTCACGTTACCTCCGAACCTTTGTAAGCTCACATCACTGAGCGATAGGTAGCGTGAATCTTACGACCATGTTTCTCAGCGCGCAGTTGGTAATCTGAACAAAGTTCATAAGGTTGTATGCAAATAAATTGAGCATGTACCCCCACAGCTAAATAGAAAAGCATAAACAAATAATACGTACATTCGTTGGTTTCTGGAAACAAAACAATACCCATTAATGAAAATCAAATAACCTTAAGTCAATATATATATTACGTGTCAGTTGATCGTTTGTTACACGGATGTTAATTTTTGTGTTTCGGTTGATGCAATATATCTGTGGTGATTTAAATTATAGCACGTTATAATGTGGATGTTTATGAGCCTAAAGAAATCTACACAATAAATGTTTTCCTAAATTCAGCTTTTCTTCTACACTTTATTATAGGTAATGCGCTTGAAAATTTGACCCGATTATGTGGCACTTCGGGCTTCGGACTCTATTGAGCTTGTAAACGTTAAGACAATATAGTGAAAAACGCATTGACACCCTTGTTGTACGGTGTACAGCTCGGTTGAAATGTTGCGGTACCAGTCAGGGAATTCGCGCACAGTTGATGGGTACCACGCAGGGAAGATGGGTACCACGGAGGGAAGATGGGTACCACCAAGGGGCGCGCATGATCTGACGGGTACCATCGAGCCACGTAGGTGACTTTTGACGTCAGCGGGCTCAATGTTGGTTACCCAGAATGTAATTACCCTAATGTTCCTGTCGGAGTGGCGGAGTGGCGGAAAGTGCCCACATATAGCACTGTAGTCCCCTTGAAAGCGCAGGGTCGCTAGTAGTACCCCTGCGAAAGCTACTTACCCTTAGGGCTTCATAGCAGCACTGCTTTTATGATTCCTGGTATAATAAATACATGTACTGTGGGCATTACTCTTCCCATGCAAATGCTGCTGTACATCTGAACTTATACATCTCATACGAATTGTCACATCTCAATTTTGCCACCTAGCAATGCGGCACTTTCATTCTCCAAGTTGACAACAGCATGAGTGAGGGGCACCTTAGGACCTGCTGTTGCTGCAACTGCTGCTGCTCCTTCAACCTGCACATCTTTTTCCCCGTTCACGTCAATCCCGGCTTCAATGTTCCCGGAAGCAGCTTCCTTCTGAGATGCCTTGACGTTAGGAGATAATGCAAGGATGTAGTCTATGGACGAACGGGGGGCGTTCCGAGCAGCCCTGGCATAGAGAGCAAGGGCGAGGAGCATGGTAAAGACGAGCACGGCAATAAAAAGAATACCTGCGAGCGCAACGCCCAGGTGCTCCTCCGCTTCCGTCTCACACTTAACCATCTTATAATCGACATTGCGACAACCCGGTAAGTGGAGCACTCCATAGAGGAACAGAGACATGGTCCAGAGCCAGAGGCCTTGGAAAAGAAACCCCGAGAGAAACATTGCATCGAGGAGGAAGCAGGAGGGGAAGGCGGCAACGAGGAGCGCGAGCAGGAAGCAGATGACGGCAGCGAGTGCTTGGAAGAGGTGGAAGCGAGGCTCGAGGCCCTTGTGGGAGATGGAGTGGAAGGTGGTGAGAATGGCCTCGCTGAAAAAGCCGATGGCGTAGAGGATGTGCAGGGAGCCTGGTGGGAGAGGCAGGAGACTGGGCATGGAGGTGGTAGGAATGAAAGTGGGGGAGAGGGGTGGGTGAAGGAGGGGAAGAGGGAGGGGTACCGGGGGTGGGGGGAGGGGGGATTTAGAAATGTCAGGAAGATTGGGAGGTTTCACAGGTGAGACGGGAAGTAGAAGGGAGGTTTGGAGTATGACATGAGAAAGATGGAACTATGCGGACTATATTCATAAATTTGCACTGAGATTCGGCAGATACAGAGCTTCAAATCAATCATCCATTCCGAAATTTTATCGTACAACTTTCCTTGGTCTCACCTGCTTGTGTCATGGACATAGAAGATGAGCCCTATAGTAACGAAGACAGCAAAGAGCAAGGCGTGCTGCGGTGAGGAACGAAAGGGGTGCAGGACGAACGGAGGGAGAAGGAACGAACACATGTTGCAGCTCAGAATGTGAAACAAGCAATGCATACTGTTACATGGAAGGCGAACCAAGCACAACATGGTGCAGTGTGGTTCAAGGATGTGCTGAAAGAGAGTCAGTTCAAGGTGCAGCGTCTCTACAACAAAGGATCTGACACTTCCTCAAGCTCACACGCAACGAACTTGAGAGCATCTCGAAACGTGAAAACGAAAAACAAGAAGCACGAGAATCTTAAGAACTCACCTCGAATTGAATTATTTCAAATCTATGCTCAAACGCGGACAGCAGTCCCAGCAGCAGCCCTTCCATGAGCTGCGCGAACGCCCCGCAGACGAGTACGTACACCACAAGCCGCACCCAGTGTCCGCGAATGGGCACCGGATGCCATGCACGCGCCACGTACGCGTGCGGCGCGGCGAGGTAAGCGCGAATGGCGCAGAAAAGGTTCCATGAAGCGAAAATGAGCATGACCGTTCCTGCGCACGTGTGACCGAGGAAGGACCCCATTCTCGTCCGTCACAGTCACAGGTGATCGTCACCCTTGTGACCGCCACGCTAGTGTCGTCCCAAAACAAGCCGACCGAAAATCCGAACCCTGTGGCACGCGATAGCACCAGTAGGCTTGTTTCGAGACGTCACCTACTACGAACGCGGGTTTCTAGCAGCTCAAATGGTGAGACGAAGTCACGGTGATGGAGTTTTGAGTTGAGACTCCAAGATTGAAATACTATGGTGGCAGCAGAGAAGAGAGCAGAAGCGTGATTCAGGCCGACACCGAGGACCGCTAGCACGGTGTCGATATCTGCCAGTAAGTGCTCATTGTGACTCGTGAAGCGCCTTGGGTGCAATAACGGCACCATGGTGCTTCCGGTACAGTAGCAGTCAGTCCAAGTCAGCGGTGACCTATTCGACAGGGAACGACTCGTGCGTGTGGTTGCAAATATCGGAAGCAGTGGACAACGTTGAGCAGCATCGCTGGTTTTGATTCTTGATTCTTGAACAGTGGATTCCAGGCCGTGTGCTGCTCCATTCGAGTTCGGTTTTTGCCCGCTGACTTTCTATGGAAGAGCTGAGAAGTAGGCGGACAGCAACCAGCTCCCTAGGAACCTGCTTGTTGCTCCTAGGTCCAACCAACACCCACCGACACTCTCAGACTCCCATGGATTCCACAAGACTCACTCGCGCACACCCCAGATACCACAGATGCGAATTGATAAGTCTCTGGTTGCGTGGGGTGTCCGCTGGAGCCTTGGAGGTTGGGATGAGGCTAGGGATGTGAGATGGTTTCAGGTTGGCTGTGATAGAAAACGGTGAAGATGATTCGGATGAGTTTGGAATAGGAAGGGTTTTTTCTCCAGCCGTTCGGGGATCGATCATACGAAAACAGCAGCTGCTCAACCGTACAATACCACCAGACGATAACCTTATCGAATCTGGTACAGAAATTATATGAAATGATTTGAGTACAAAATAATACATTACGTCAAAATACTCCTTTTTAAGATAGAAGGCCTTTCTCCTCGTCTACACCTACACCTGTGTCCACACTGTCCTCATGCGCACTAAGTGCCCCCAACATAACCTCTCCCTTGCCACCATCCCCCCTCCCACTACCATCTTTTGCTTCCCCTTCCCCACACTCCACAGCATGCGTTGCATGGATAAGATCAAGGGACGACCGAGGAGCAGCACTCGCAACCGCACCGTAATACGCGAGTGAGAGCACGAGATTGCAGGCGAGGAGGGCGATGAACTGCAGCACGGCAAGGGCCATGGCTCGGTGCTCGTTTGCATCGGAGTCGCAATGCACGGTGTCAGGGCCCAGATAGCAGCCTGCTGGTACCATGGGACCATAGAGGGACATGGCGGTCTGCCGGGGGAAGGGAAGGAAGGAGGGGGAGAATCAAGGCATTAATTTCTTGCTCGGTGCTCGGTTGCATCGGAGTCGCAGTGCACGGTATCAGGGCCTAAGTAGCAGCCTGCTGGCACCATGGGGCCGTACAGCGACATGGGGGTCTGCATGCACGAGGGGGAATGAAAGAGAGGAGGAATGGTATGTTGTGGTGCTGTGCGGTACCATATGATACAGTACCCTGCATACAATACAGTACGGTGCAGTATGCTACAGAGAAGCAGGATGCCGACCTGCCAGAACAGGAGGCTCTGTATTGCACGCTATGGTGTGGTATGGTACAGTGTCGTGGCAAGATGCGGGTGAGTGACTGGCCTGCCAGAACAAGAGGCCCTGCAAGAGATGACGCCGCTGCCAACCGTGTCAAGCAGGAAGGAGTGCGGCACAGCAGCCCCCAGGCAGCAGCAGGGCACACACGACACAGGCAGCAATGGTGACAGCTAGCAGCATGTGTGGGAGGTGAAGTTACCTGCCAGAACCCGAGGCCCTGCATGGCATGGCACACCATGGTGTGGTACAGTACAGTGCGGTACATGTGGGTGAGTGACTGACCTGCCAGAACAGGAGCCCCTGCAGGACGATCGCGCCGCTGCCAACGGCATCGAGCAGGAAGGAGTGCGGCATGGCAGCGGCCAGCAGCGCACACACGACACAGGCGGCAATGGCGATGGCGAGCAGCATGTGGTAGCGCGGCTCGAGGCCGTGGTGCGCCGTGGAGTGGAGAGTGAAGAGCATCCCCTCACAGAAGAATGCGAGCGCTGCTAGGATGTGGAACGCACCCAGAGGGAGGGGGAGCAGGCTGTGGAGGAAGGGGTGGGGATGGTTGGAGAGGGGTGAGGAGAGATTGGGGGATGGACGAGATGGGCGGGGCGGGATTGGGAAAGAATGGGCTGTGCGATGGGTGTGAGGACATGGCCTTTCCATCCCATCCCCCGCTCCCCACCCTCTTTCCCCCCCCTTCCCCCCCAGAACATCAACCGTTCATCTTTCCACACTGCTGACCTGGTGGTTTCGCTGATGAGAAGGGCGCAGCCGAGCAGGAAGAACATTAGCAGCATCGCCGCGTGCTGCGCTGGGGGGGAGAGGTGTGGGGAGATGGGAGGATAAGAGGGGGGGAGGATGAGGGAAACATGTGGTGAAAATGGAGCATGTTTGTTTGTTTGTTTGTTTGTTGTTGTTTTTTCTTTCTTTCTTTCTTTCTTTTGATTAGTTGAGCTTCCTGTCCGCGCCGATCAATGCGCGCTGCTCAGTGGAAGTGCGAGGTACCTCGAAGTTATTCAGGTGGCCGGGCGCGACTCCGCCATTCTCGATCGGATGGAACCCCGTTCCGACTCCGAGCTCGACTAAACCCATATCTAGGAACGACCCCACTACTATAATGTACAGCTCGAGCCGCGCCCAGTGGCCGGGTAGCGGCGCGGGATGCCATAGTCGCGACACGAAGGCTCGCGGCGCCGCGAGGTAATTCTTAATGCTGCATCGCAGGTGCCACAGCCCCACTAGCAGGAAAAGCGTCCCGGGGATGATGTGACCTGCGAACGAGCCCATGGCTAGGGAATGCCGCGACAAGCGGGTTACACGAGTAAAATATTCTGTGTTTTTGGCCGTCGAAAACTTTCAGAACTTGTTCAGCCATATTCCCACTTGCATGTGCGACAGAATCTGGATGCTGGGCTGGGCGGTCCGCCGGAAACTGTTGCTGTGGTGGTACCTCTTCGACAATACAGGGTGCTCCGTTAAAGTATAAAACGTCATTTCTTGAACAAAATGCTTTGCACTGAATATATTACGCCCAAATCGAGATGATTGCTTCGCAATGCGAGAGGAAACTGCATGTTTCTAACAAAAGCAGGCTGCACAAGTACACAACTGCTGTTTGAACAAACGCAGCCAGTACGCGTGGAAAGTAGGCTGCACGAGCAAAACCTGTTCCACCAACCCAGAGCCATTCAATCAACCGCTCACAGAACCCAAAAATAGGAGCCCCATCAATCATCATTTGATCACCTCTCCACTGCAAGCAACCCAGCGAATGGGTGTACCAACCAACTCAACCAGTAAGTCATGTCTATCCCTCCCAGTGGCAAGCAAAATTCATCATACGGGTCCAGCCCAGTTGACTTCCCTTCCCCTCCTTCCCATCCTCCCTGCCACCCCCCTCTCCCTCAGCTCGTCTATCCTAGCCATATCTGTCTCGCTTGTGGCCAGTGGCCACAAGCGGCCTTCTCTCCCTCCAGTAATTCTTAACCCTATCACCCCTCTTCCCCATGATCCCATTACCCCTCTTTCCCATGATCCCATCACACCTCTTCCCCATCATCCCATCACCCCACTTCCCCATCATCCCATCACCCCACTTCCCCATCATCCCATCACCCCACTTCCCCATCATCCCATCACCCCACTTCCCCATCATCCCATCACCCCACTTCCCCATCATCCCATCACCCCTCCTCCCCATCATCACATCACCCCTCTCTCGCCCGTTTAGCCTGCATGGATCGCAGAGCCTTCTCCCTCAGCTCCTCCATACTTCCCCCAAACCCCCCACCCCCCCTCTCTCTCTCCCCACCCTCTCCCTCCTCCCGCTCCCTCTTACCTCTCCCTTCACCATCCCCCCTTTTACTACCATTCACCCCTCCCTCATGCTGTCTCTCCTCCTCATCCTCACTGCTGCCTCGCTCCTCCTCCCCTCCCATCCCCCGCCGTGCCTCCTTAGCCGCGCGCTTCTCCTCCTTCCGCCGCCGCTTCTCCTCCTTCCTTTTCCTCTTCTCCTCCTTACGCGCCTTCTTCTCCTCCTTCCTCCTCCGCTTCGCCTCCCGCCTCTCCTCACTATTCATCCCCTCCTCCTCCTCCTCCTCCCAATCATCACTCCCAACCCTCCCAAACCCCTCACCACCCATCTGACCTCCCTGCCCGTCCCCTCGTGTCCCAGCCTCCCTTGTCGGACGGCGGGGGGAGGGAGAACCGGAGGAGGGAGGGGAAGCATCTTGTAGAGAGGCAGATGGTTCTTGGGAAGAGCGGAAGCTGCGAGACTGCCTCTGACTCCCCCCTGCCTCCTCATCCCCCTCCTCCTCCTCCTCTCCAGCTTCCTCCTCGCTCTGCTCCTTGCCCCTCCTATCTCTCCTACCCCTTCCATCCTCATGCCTATCACCACGACCCCGCGCATCACCTGCATCAGCACCGCCACCAGCACCGCCACCAGCACCTCCCTCCTCCTCCCAATCCTCCCCTGGCCCCTCCCTACGGCTAGGCCCCTTGCTGCTAGGACCCTTGCTGCTAAAACCCCTTGGCCTCTCTCGCATCTCCCCTCCCCTTTCATCCTCGTACCCTGCTCTCCGCCCTCCGCGCCCCTCCCCCCTTCCTGCGCCCCTTTCCTCATCTCGCCTCTCACGCGGACGCCCCTCGTAACCGCTCCCCTCCCCTCCGCGCGCCACATACCTCCCCCTTTCACCCTGCCTCCTCTCCCCGTCCGCACCCCACCTTTCCTCCTCCTCATCCCCCTCCTCCTCAACCCCACCCCTCCCCCTTCGGCCTTCGCTCTCCTTCCTGCCACCAGACTTTTCGGAAGCACCCAGACGGCCATTCGGCTCGTCGCCCTCACTCTCGTCAGCATCGGGGGATGCAATGCCCACATCCCTCCCCCCACCCCTTTCCCCACCCCTTCCCCCATCCCTCCCCCCATCCCTTCCCCCACCCCTTCCCCCATCCCTCCCCCCATGCCTACCCGCACCTGCACTGCCCTTGGCACTTCTCCCCGCGTCACCGCGGCCCCTTCCTCTCACCATCACCTCGTCGTCTCCCCCCTCATCCTCCACCAATCGACCCGCCCTGCCCTTCCGGACCCCCTTGCCTTCCCCATCCTCCTCCCCGTCTTCCTCCTCCCCGTCTTCCTCCGCCTCGTCCTCCTCCACATTTCGCCACCCTGCTCCTCCTTTCCTAGCCTCCTTGCGCACAACACCCCGCACGTCCTCTTCATACTCCTCCTCGTCCTCCTCGTCACCATATTCATCACCATACTCCTCCCTGCCGCCCTTACTCCTACCGGGAACCCCGCGCTTGAACGACGTGCCCCTGTCTTTCCCGCTCCCTCGTTCATCCACCCGTCGCTCACCCCGTATCCTCTCCTCCCGCCCTCTCACGTCCCTCCCCCTATCCTCCCAATCTCTCACCTCCCGCCCTCTCTCGCCGCGTCCTCTGTCGGGTCCGCCTTCCTCTCGCCCCCGCATCGATCGGCCAGGCGGCGGAGGGTACCGCGCAAACGACTCCTCCTGCCGGGACGAACGACGAGGGGGGGGTGATCGGGACCCCCCCCCTCTGCGCCGATAGTCCCCTGGCGGCGACCGCCCGTCGCGCTGGTACCCGCGGCTTCTAGGCGGGGAGCGGTAGCGGCTGCTGCGGTAGGACGACGGCGGGGGGGAGCGCCGGGGGGAGCGGTACGCGGAGCGGCGGTGGCGGGGTGGGGACCGGGAGCGGCGCTCGGGGGAGAAAGAGCGGGAGCGATGGCGACGGCGGGCGGGGAAGCGGTTACGAGGAGGGGGGGGCAAGGGGGCCTGATCCTGCTCCGCTTTTCCTTCGCCACCACCTGCATCATCGTCATCATCAGCAACATCAGCAGCAACAGCGGCTCCTACACCATCTGGCCTCTCATCCTCCTGCCCTTGACCTGTTCCTGTGGCACCACCATCACCACCAGCAGCTGTAGCAGCAGCAGCTGCTGCTGCGGCTGCTTCTTTCTCCTGCGCCAGCTTAGCAGCCTGCGCCGTGAACGCAGCCGCAGCGGCCGTGGCGGCGGCGACGGCAGCGTTGCCGGCAGCAGTAGCGGCTGGGTCAGCCGGCGCTGGTACCGCAGGCGCAGGAGCAGGAGCGGGAGCAGCAGCAGCGGCGGCGGGAGCGGGATGTCCGAGGAGGGCAGCCGTGAGGCGCGCTGCTGCCTCTGCGGCCTTCCGTCGAGCAGCTTCCACGTCCACGCCCTGCGCACACACGCATAACAGGGAGGTACCCGCGAAGAGAGGGAGACATTAAAAGGCACTCGTTGGACGTAGGCTGGAGAGACGCGAAGGGAGCGCTAGTGTGCTGTCGTTTGCTAAGCTACTAAGGTCGCGCGTCAGTACTCGTGGTAGCGGGTCTCTGACCACTCCCAACCGCGACTCACGGGGATGGAAGCAGCGGCAGTCCCAGGGCCCAGCAACGAGCCCTGCTGCATCCCCTTCTTGCGCCCAATCTCCGACAAAATGCGCTGCTCCGCTTCCTGCAGCGTAAAAAATAACAGGAGGACGCAAAAGCTAATCATATTTGACAAGATTGGATCAGATTAACAAACACGATCGAGAAGGGGAGACTAAACAGAAAGCGAGCAAGCGAGCGCGACGCACCTTTTTCTTCCTCGTCTCCTCCGCCTTCTCGTCGAGAAACTTCTGCGGGATGCCGCTGACGTTGGCCTGCGCGCTGAGCAGCAGGCACCAGAGCTCGCGCATGAAGCGCGCCGTGTGGCGCTCCATGAAACCGGTCAACTGAATCTGGACCTGCTTGCCGTCCACCTTCTGCAGCACGCGAGAGGAGGAAGGGTTTGTGGGACGCGGAGAGGAGAGGCAGAGAAAAAGAACAACGGCGACGGCTGTTCTGCAAGTGCTCCGAGCAAATGGTACGCAGGAGGCAGGCAAAGATAACAGAACGGTAACAGGAGGGTTACCAGTCCGCCAGCCATGGCTGGCTTTCCTGCTGCACCGAAGGTGGACGGCAAGCAGGGTTATCCTGCAGAGCAGATGTCCCTTGCAGTGTGATGAGTCATCGATCATTGCAATCATGGCGACCCTGATGCCATGGCGGGACTGGGCAGTGATCCAAGCCATGTGGATGCCGAAGCTGTCGACAAGATCACAACCGATCGGAATAAGCTCTTGAACCGAGACTTAACTAAGATTCTGAACAGCCTCCTCGCCAAAGAAAAAAAACCCTTCGATAAAAAGTGAAACGACAGCAAGACCTTTGTAAGGAAATGGCGTGTTGAGAGGCTCGTAAGTAATTCCCATACCTTGCCCTCTAGCAGGCTGTAAATAAAATTGATGAGCACTTCATCCTCCACGCCCAGAAGCTCAGTCACCCTCTTGGCTATCCATGGCTGCATCACCTCCTTCTTTACCTTGGTCATATCCACCTGCGGAAAAAAATAAGGACCCAAAAAAAAAAAAAAAAAAAAAAAAAAAAAAAAAAAACCGGCTGGAAATAAGTCCATCAACGCTCGCTAAATGCGTAAAAGAAAAGTGGTTAAAGAAGCGTGAACCCCGGCAACAAGAAACATCTAGTGCACTTGCCGGCTCATCAAGCTCCGGTGCGAACTTCTGCGATTTAAGCAGCTTCGCGTTCTTGTTGGAGAATCTGCTGTCCTGATCCGCACTGGTCCCTCGGAAGAAACCCCCCGACATGGCTGCGGTTTCGTCACTAGTAACCGCAACAATGAATCTGCTACCGGAAAAACCCGCGTCGGCTTTACGACAAAGCCTATGAAAAAATCAGAATATCCCAAGAATCGTCGCGGGAAAGACCATAGGAGTCGCACATCCAGGAATAATGGAAAGATATCTCGCAGGTCCACATAAAAGGACCTCCTACCGGGATATATAAGATCACAGGTCCGTAGCCAAGCTCCTGCTAGCAGACCTGTAACAGCTCCTGCTACCAGATCCTGCAGCTACATAGCATCTGGAACAGCTAAATGGATGAGGTTGGCGACGGTCGCGAAGCGTCGCAAAGATGGCGAAGCAAGCTGGCGATGAAAAGCCTGGTGTGGGAGGCGGGAATGACACTTTCGATTCGACCCGCTACTTCAAATAGATGCCCGCTATTTGACCACTTTAAATCATATAAAGGCGGAAAGTTACAAGCGAAAAATGGTTATGACTACATAATCAGCTCAATTGGAATGAAAAAACTAAAATGGTCCTACTCTGATGCTACCCTAGCTTGAGCATGTCCCACAGGATCATGAATCTCAACAGAAGCTAAGCTTTCCTTCGCATCCAACCACGTCCATTTCTCCTCCGGCACACCCGTAACACAAAAATCCGAGCACAGACCCCCGCCTTCAACCTTACAACTCGGCTTCGTCACATTTCCACCCGCCCATTCCGCGGAAAGAACAGCCTTGCCGCCTTGACAAACAGTCGGTGCGACAACAGCTTGCGGGGTTTCCATGGCTCTAGCGGCATATTTGGCAAGGAGTACGGCCCAGTAGTGGACTCGGCTTTGCCACGTGCACACATGAGAGGCGAGCTCGTTTGCGTTGAGCAGCATGGTGTGCACTGCATCGTCGTGCTGCCTCATCCACTCCACTGCTGCCACCAAATCCGTGAAGCTGCAGTGCTCGACACATGACAGCACACGAATAATGGGGGAGAAGGGTAGGTGCAGGTGATGAGTTTTCTTGGTACAGATGCACAATGGAGGGAAAGAAGAAGCATGCACATATGTATTGGGGATGTACTGAACTCCAGGCAGCACTGACCTGTGTGTAACGGGGATGTAGTGTACTCCGGGCAGCATGAGCGGCTCAAAATACTGCATGAAGCCCGAGTGGTGCCGAATGATGGCCTGCTGGCCACTCAGAGCGCGACACGTGTCACGAGAGCCCACCATCTCATCCACCACAACCACATACTTGAACGTGCTCTCCTTCACCCCCTCCTCCATCTCCTCCGCCAATACAAACCCGTTCCTGCGGGAAAGAGACCCTCGAGAGGATGGGCGGGAGACGAGAAGGAGGAACGGAGGGGGATGAGAAGGAGGAATGGAGGGGGATGAGAAGGAGGAAGGGAGGGGGATGAGAAGGAGGAAGGGAGGGGGATGAGAAGGAGGAAGGGAGGGGGATGAGAAGGAGGAAGGGAGGGGGATGAGAAGGAGGAAGGGAGGGAGGATATACTTGAACGCGCACTCCTTCATCCCCTCCTCCATCTCCTCCGCCAACACGAACCCGTGCCTGAGGCGGGGAAAGAGAGCAGCGGGTTGGGGGGTGAACGGGTAGGGACACAAGGGAAGTGCACCACATGGCACTTCACCACATGGCACTTCACCACATGGCACTTCCCCACATGGCACTTCCCCACATGGCACTTCCCCACATGGCACTTCCCCACATGGCACTTCCCCACATGGCACTTCCCCACATGGCACTTCCCCACATGGCACTTCCCCACATGGCACTTCCCCACATGGCACTTCCCCACATGGCACTTCCCCACATGGCACTTCCCCACATGGCACTTCCCCACATGGCACTTCCCACATGGCATGGCGCTTCCTCAAAACAGAAATCACACAGCACAAAGACATACCACCTGTGCACCGCACTGAACCACTCACTTCTTGAGCAACTCTTTAGGGTCGGCCAGGTCTATCGGGCCAAATCTGGAGATCCGAGCGTCCAGCAGGTCCGGGCGAGAGTCGGAGGTTCGGTGCAGGCGCAGGCGGAAGCTGGAGGCCCAGTTGTAGGGCTTCAGCTGAAACTCAAACCCACTGCCCCGCCACACTGCCCTGCCTTCCTTCTGCAGCATGTGGTGGGGAGGCAGCATGTGGTGGGGAGGCAGCATGTGGTGGGGAGGCAGCACGTGACAGACAGGTGCACAGAGGTCCAAGGAACGGATGAGAAGGGGTGGGAGGGAGGCAGAGAGGGGGGCTTTCTATAGAAGCTGGAGGCCCGGTTGTACGGCTTCAGCTGCAACTTGAAGCGAGGTTGTTATTGAGACGTCTCAAAAACAACCTCGCTTCACGTGGCCTTTCTATAGAAGCTGGAGGCCCAGTTGTACGGCTTCAGCTGCAATTCAAACCCACTACCCCGCCACACCGCCCTTCCCTCCTTCTGTGAGATGAGGTTGTACGGCTTTTGTGTAGACTAGCCTGCGATGTGAATGACATGCCTTGACCAGAGCACAAGGGACGCACCTTGTGCCAGGGCACATGCTCAGTATGCTGTGGAGAGGACTAGTCAAGGTCAAGGGGGTCCGAGATGAGAATGTCCGTGCAGCCGGGAGTCCACTGCGTGCTGACTAGCCTATCTGAGACATGGTTCGGCAAGCAGCCCAAGAGACACTAGGGACTGACCTTGGCCCAGGGCACATGCTCCGCATGAACAGGGGGCGAGTAGTCGAGGTCGAGGGGGTCGGGGAAGAGGATGGCCGTGGAGCCGGGCGTCCACTGCGTGCTGAAAGAGCAGGGTGTGCTCAACTCGCCACGAAAGGCTTAAAAGCGTTAACAGATTAAAGAAAGGGGACGGACCTTGCCCCAGGGCACGTGCTCAGTGTGCTGTGGTGGGGAATAGTCGAGGTCGAGGGGGTCGGGGAAGAGAATGTCGGTGGAGCCGGGGGTCCACTGCGTGCTGAAGACGGGGAAGCCGGAACAGCCCGAGGAGAGCGAGTTGTCGAAACTCACGGGCTTGTCACACGCGTTTATGAATAGCTCCGCTCGCAGTGCTGTTGTGGGAAGGGGGAAGGAGAAGGGGAGGGAGAGGGGAGAAGGAGGAAGGAGGTATTGAGGGGAGATATTGGCAGGTAGAGCGTGCGTATGTGAGCAGAGCTGAGCGGAGCAGCTGGAGCAGCCGGAGGAGGGCGAGTTGTCAAAGCTGATGGGTTGTCACACGCGTCTATAAATAGCTCCGCACGCAGTGCTGTTGTGGGGGGAGTGGTTGGGAGGGAAGAGGGGGTGGGGGAAGAGGGGGTGGGGGAAGAGGGGGTGGGGGAAGGAGGCACTGAGGGGAGAATGATGGCAGGTCGAGCAGCTGGAGCAGCTGGAGGAGCCGGAGGAGAGCGAGTTGTCGAAGCTGACGGGCTTGTCACACGCGTTCATGAATAGCTCCGCTCGCAGTGCTGTTGGGAGGAGATGGGAAAGGAGTTGCTTGGGGAGTTGAGGATGGGTTTACAAATGATAAGCGAACACAATAGCCTGGTTCGGATTGAGGTTGTGTGACAGAAGAAAAAACGCCTGGAATTAGGACATACATCTAAGGTCGTATGCAGTGATGACGCACACCTTAGCTTCCACCCCACTAATTTCAGGTCACAACAGATAATGTGCGGACACAGACGTACATTGGAGGTCGTATGCAGTGATGGCGTGGAGGATCGTCTTGACTGCCAGGATGATGCGTTTGAGGCGCCTTAAAAGCCCTGTGACGTTCACCCCACTGGTTCCAGGTCATAGCAAAAGATATTTGATAACAGGGGATAGTATAGACACGGACGTACATCGGAGGTCGTATGCAGTGATGGCGTGCAGGATCATCTTCACTGCCAGGTTCACACGCTTGAGCTTGCGTGGATCTTCCAGGAAGGAGCCGTAGCGGAAGTACACACGACCTAGCACTATGCGCACATGCGCCAGGCATGGCTGCATCTGCAGATGGGGGGCAGTGAAAGCGGGTGGTGGGGGGGGAATGCATGGGATTGCGGATCGACGTATGGGACTTGGTGGGGGAGGGGGGGAATGGTGCTGAGAAGTGCCGTGAGGGAGAAGCAGAGGAGTGAGACACAGATGGATGCGGTGGAGTGGGGAGGGGTACCTTGGGGTTGACGGCCATGGCTGGGAACATGATCTGCTTCACCATGCCCGCCTTTCCCAACCCCTTGCTGATGCCCTGCTTGTTCGCACACACACAGGGACACAGGCACACACGCACAAAGGCGCAGGAACAGAGGAACACAAGGGCACAGTGTATGAGAGCACACACTTATGCGCCAGGAAATGATCTCTCCATCCCCTCTTATCCCCTATCCCTCACCACCACTCTCAACCCCCCACCCACCCCTCCGCCCCCTCACTCACATTTATCCAGATAGCTTCCCACACCCCCTTTCCCCCATTGTCAACTCACATCAATCCGCACCCACGACGCCAGGAACCTCTCAGCCAGCCGTGCAAACGCCAGCGTGAGCCGATTCCCCGTGCTGAGCGTGCCGGCCGTCAGCAGCCCCTCCACCACGTGGCCCCACGGCGCCTTGCCGTCGTCCTCCCCCTCCTCCGCCGCCACCACCTTCCCCATCGCCTGGTACCGCGCAGGGGAGTAAAACTCCGCCTCCTCCACCCGCCCCCCGTCCGCGTCCGACGCAAACGCGTGCCGCCGATCCCACGAGGAGGACGACGAGGAGGAGCGAGAGACCAGGTCGAGGAGGGCGTGGTGGTCGTGCGAGGAATGATTCACCCACGGACCCTCCAGCGCGCCTCGCGCGTTCAGCTGGATGGGGAACTCGCACCCGCCCCGCTCCACCAGCAGCGCCGCCAGCTGCGCCGAGGGGAACCAGGTGCGCCTGCAGGAAGGTGGATGTGGGGGAAGGTGGATGTGGGGGGTGTGAATGTGGGAAAAGCGGGTGGATATGGGGGGAGGTGGATGTGGAAGGTGGGGGAACGGGTTTGGATGTGGTGGGAAGATGGACGGTAGGTGGGGAAAGCGAAGGGCGAACCACATCCACTCATATCCCTGGGGAGAGCGGCGAGGTGCGGCGAGGGAGCCAGGTTCTCCTGGGGGTGGTTTGACATGTGGATGGATCATGGATCTACGGAGGAGCAGATATGCTGAGTTAGCCATCGGTTGTTAGAGCAGGGAGACGACTGCGACGACGGAGACGACTGCGACGACGGAGACGACTGCGACGACGGCGACGACTGCGACGACGCCGGCGACGGCGACGAGGGACGAGCGACAAGCGGTACCTGGTGGAGGCGACGACGGCGACGAGAGCGATGGACATGAGAGTTCGACCGCGAAGCGACGCGAACCAGTCGCCTCCCGCCTTACCCGCCGGAAAATGCGGCGGCCGACGCGGGCCCCCCCGGGGCCCTCTGGTCATCATTGTGATTGGCTGTCGGATGGCAGTCGGACTACCGTCGGATTGCAATCAAATGACGACGGGATGACCGTCGGATTGCAATCGACGGATCTTCAGGGGTTCGCGATCGGGAATCAAATCGGGAGAAGCATGAAAGGCGAGCGGTGACACTCGGCGATTTTCGATCTCAAGTGACTCGAGCGGAACGGTAAACGGTAGAGTGAGAGGATCGCCTCAGCGTCTCGCCTTGGGATCTCACTCGCCTAATGAACAGTGCGCGACTCCTGGAAGGTGGTTCTGAATGATGCTCCTAAAAGGTTCTCCTCAATAGTGCTTTCAAGTCGCAATATTCTCAGTCCTGATTGCGACGCCTCAGTCCTCCATGCGACGCACTGCGAGCACTTGCAGCTCCCAAGGACATCTTAAAGACATCAAAAGGAGAAGTCATCGTAGGCGAACTCAGATTTATTTTTGCACTTCCACCGACTGACCAATTACTGCTTGGGTTCTCCACATAAGATTTTGATATCCTGCAGATTCGGAGTTCCCTGTGCCATCTTCTTCCCAATGCTCTCTGCTGCCTGCAATTCCCGAGGTTGGTGGTGAGGGAGGGAGTTCCTGAGGGAGTTCCCTTCACTTGTTGGTCAGGGAGGGATCTCAACCTGCGGCTGCCGCCAGAGAGACTCGGATTGAAATTCCCGCTAACAAACCATCGCTGACGGCAACACACAAGAATGAAACACGATTTAGTAATGGCATATTCCATAATTGCTCATATCAGTCTTATTACAATTTTATGGTAACTAGCAAACCAGGTCATAGATCCTGTATCCTGATGCCAGTGGGAACCCATAATTTCCCACCCACTTTGCGATCTCCAGGTTAGTGCCCTTTCCGTCCAGTATCCAGGAAGTCTTCTAGAGCCCCTCATTCTTGCCTTAACACGATAACTTATTTCCTTTGCCAGAGATACCACCTTTGTAAAACAAATCAACCTTGAGTGGCTGCGATAGCCTCCCTGACTACCATGTCCAGCACTCTCTTATTGTGCTCCTTGAACCACTCACCAACATTCGCCTTTATCTTGACACGGGTGCGTTCATTTGCCTGCTTTTGCCATGTGATGCCCACAGTTGTCTTGAGTTCAGACACCCGCTCATTAAGTCTATGTGCCTTATCCTCCGCACTCACATCCTCCTTCCCATTCAGAAGCTGCTGTGACTTGAGCTCCCTCTTGGTCTCCACCTGCAATACACAACATATACATTCAGAGTACATACCATAAAACCACATGCAAACAACCACTGTAACTAATGCTCACCCAACTCCAATCCAGTTCCTGCAAAATTTACCTAAGTCCTCGAGGCAGCACAGTATCAGGCACGCAGCTAGAAGTAGTCTCCAAAGGGCACTTAGTGCAGAGCAATCGACTCCTCCAGCATTGCCCACAAGCACATACTACGGAGAAACTGAAAAACATCATCCTTGGAAAATATTGTAATAATAATAATATAATAATAATAGTAATAGTAATAAAATCTCCTCACAGGCACGCACCTGGAAGTAGTCCCCAAAGGGCACTTGGTGCAGAGTGATGGACTCCTCCAGCATCGCCCACGTGCACATGCCAGGTGTCGCATCCTTAGTGGCCTGCTGCACGCCCGACACGGTGGTTCCAAACGGCGACATCTGGCGGGAGAACTTGAACTTGATGTTGCGCTGCCGCCGGGCGGCACCGGGCGGCGCACCGTCCACTGCCACCCAATCGGAGACCTCCAGGTGGGTCTGGCCGGTGGCGTCTGCCACCTTGCGCTGCAGCTGCTGCTGCTCGGTCATCGCCAGGAACTGGTCCACCTGTGATTGTGGGTGAGTGAGTGGGGGCACGAGCGGGCATGAGCGTTGAGTTTGTGTCGGCCACCTTGCCTTGTGCTGCAGCTGCTGCTGCTCGGTCATCGCCAGGAACTGCTCCACCTGTGAGTGTGTGGGTGTGTGTGGTGTGAGTGGGTGTGAGTGGGTGTCAGTGAGTGTGAGTGCGGGTGTGAGCGTGGGCATGTGTCGGTGCGAGTGTAGGTGTGAGTGAGTGGGAGCGAGTGTGCGAGTGCGGATATTAGATGCAGTTACTAGGAACAAGCCCTCCCATGTAACCGTCATGGGTACCGCGGTGCTGATGCAGTCAATCATCTCATACACGTCTGAGGGCACTGCCTTCTCACCTGCATGCCTTTTGAGGTGCCTCAAAAAACAATACACACGCAAACACACACACACGCACACACTCTTCAATCCAACCATCACCCACGCACCGTCATGGGTACCGCGGTGCTGATGCAGTCAATCATCTCATACACGTCGGTGCACACTCCTCCCTGCTCCTCCACCCCCTCACCGTCACTCCCCACTGCCCCACCACCACTGCCAGCAACAACACCCCCTCCAGCCCCTCCTTTCCCCCCTCCGCCGCCCCTGCCCCTGCCGCTGCCCCCGCCCCCCCTGCTCCTGTCGCTGCCGCTCCATCTGCCCCGCCTGCCTCCGCAGCAGCGGCAGCGCTGGCGGCCTCCTTGGCTCTCTCTAGCTGCTGCTCGGGGGGCAGCGCCCTGTGGCGCCACAACGCTGTGATCAGCCTGGGAGGAGTGGCAGAGGAAGGGCAGGGAGAAAGGGTGGGGTGGGGAGAGAGAGAGAGGGGGGGCATCACAACCTGCTCGGGGGATAGCGCCCTGTGGCGAGAGATGGGGAGGGGATGGGATGGGGAGGGATGGGGCGGATGGGGGGGATAATTAGGGGCATCACAGCCTGCTCGGGGGATAGCGCCCTGTGGCGCCATAGCGCTGTTATCAACCTGGGAGGAGGAGTGAGAGGGCGAGAGATGGGGAGGGGATGGGATGGGGAGGGATGGGGCGGATGGGGGGGAGTTGGGGAGGGATAAGTAGGCCTGTGGGCATCACAGCCTGCTCGGGGGGCAGCGCCCTGTGGCGCCACAACGCTGCTAACTGCCAGCAGATGGGAGAAAGAGGGAATGGGGAAATGGTGGGTAGAAAGACGAATGTTGCACTCTCTTACCCAGATCTAAGGGCCAAGGCAACACTATCGCAATGTCGCAGCGCTGCGCGTGTCGGGATGGAGGGCGGGCGGGCTGGACAGTGGACACTGACCGCGCACTCACTCACCAGAAGGTAACGTGGGCTGAAACACTCACCGGAAGGCAATGGTGGGGCGAGCAAAGGACTGGAATCTGATCTTGAGCCGCCCTGAAGGATCGATCCCGTACGCGGCGCTGCGCGTGTCAGGACCACCGCGACCAGGCTTGACGTAGATGGTGATGGAGGGGTTGAGGAGGCGGTTGATGGAGTGGATGGAGTGCGGGATGGGCACTGACTGCGCACGCACTTACCAGAAGGTAATGTGGGCTGAAACACTGACCGGAAGGCAATGGTGGGGCGAGCAAAGGACTGGAAGCGAATCTTGAGCCGCCCTGAAGGATCGATCCCGTACGCGGCGCTGCGCGTGTCGGGGCCGCCGCGGCCCGGCTTGACGTAGATGGTGATGGAGGGGTTGAGGAGGCGGTTGATAGAGTGGATGGAGGGCGCATTCTCCTTGAGCTCGTCTATGTCCTCCCATCGCACTGCTAGCTTTATGCGCACTCGAAAGAGGGACGCATGGAAGGCTAGCAGGCGCGGGGAGAGGAAGAGGCGACCCTGTGAGGGGGGGAGGGAGGGGAAGGGAGGGAGGGGAGGGGAGGGAGGTTGGGGAGAGGAGAGAAGGGGAGTGTGGGAGAGAGGGGGTAACGGTGAGGCAGTATGAGCGTGGCAAGTCCATGGGTTGATGGAGTGGATGGAGGGCGCGGTCCCCTTCAGCTCGTCTATATCCTCCCAACGCACTGCTAGCTTTATGCGCACTCGAAAGAGAGACGCATGGAAGGCTAGGAGGCGCGGGGAGAGGAAGAGGCGACCCTGTAGCAATGGTGAGAGGGGCATAATGGGAACGAGAGGGTAAGGGTATTGGCAGCTTGAGCTCGTCTATGTCCTCCCATCGCACCGCCAGCTTTATGCCCACTCGGAAGAGGGACACGTGGAAGGCTAGGAGGCGGGGCGAGAGGAAGAGACGACCCTGTGATGGGGGAAGTGAGTGGACGGGAGGGAGGGGAGGGGAGGGAGGTTGGGGAGAGGAGAGAGAGGGAAAGTGGGAGAGAGGGGGTAACGATTAGGCAGTATGAGCATGACAAGTCCATGGGTTGATGGAGTGGATGGAGGGCGCGTTCTCCTTCAGCTCGTCTATGTCCTCCCATCGCACTGCCACCTTTATGCGCACTCGGAAGAGAGACGCGTGGAAGGCCAGGAGGCGCGGGGAGAGGAACAGGCGGCCCTGTGGGGTGGTATTAGCAGAGGGTAGGGGTATAGGCAGAGGGGTTAAGGGTACAAGCAGCTCGAGCTCGTCAATTATGCTAGCTTTATGCGCACTCGGAAGAGGGATGCATGGAAGGCTAGCAGGCGGGGCGACAGGAACAGCCGGCCCTGTGAGGAGGGGAGGGGAGGGGAGGAAGAGGAAGGGTGAAGGTTGTGGAGATCAGGGAGTACGGTAGAGGAGGGGTGAGAGCTAGTCCTTTGATGCTCTACATGGGATCAAAACTGGGAGCAGGAACTCAGGCCCTACCTGGATCTGTGTTTTGAGAATTCTCAAAAAACAGTGTCAGGCCCCACCTGGGAGAGGAGGTTCTTCTTGAGCGATCCCAGCCGCTCACCTGCGATCCCAGCCGCTCACCTGCGATCCCAGCCGCTCACCTGCGATCCCAGCCGCTCACCTGCGATCCCAGCCGCTCACCTGCAATCCCAGCCTCTCACCTGCAATCCCAGCCGCTCACCTGCAATCCCAGCCGCTCACCTGCAATCCCAGCCGCTCACCTGCGAGAGGAGGTTCTTCTTGAGCGCGCAGGAGAAGTCGTTGATAAGCGGCTCGTTGTCGGGCAGGTCGAATAAGTTATGGAAAGCCGTGTTCTTCTCGTCGGAGATACGCAGGAGCTGGTTGGACAGGGGAGGCGAGGATGGAGAGAAAGGGAAGTTAGTGAGCACAGCACACAAGGAAAGAGGAGAGTTCTTATTGGAGGGAAGGGAAGGCTTTAGCTGCAACGGTAAGTTGGAAAGAAGAGAGGGGCCAGCATCTGTAGCTCCAAATCACGACCAGCGAACATGTCCATTCCCCTCCCCCTCCCCCCACTCCCCCCCCCCTTCCCTTCCCCTCCCCTTTTTTCTTTCAGCCCACCCCTTTGTTTGAACCCACCTCCTTGCCGACTTGCTTGCTGATCCTCTCAAGAATCATCGGTGGAGACGCCTCACTCGTACTCGTGAGCAGCACCCTCAGCTGCAGCCTCGCCTCCACCCCCTGCCCCGGCCCCTGCCCCTGCCCCTGCCCCTGCCCCGGCGCCTTGCCTCCCTTGCGCGCCTCTGCCCTCGGCCCTCCCTGCAGCGGCACCCAGAGGTCGGAGAGCTCCTGGGCGCTCGATCTCACGAGGTCCACCTCTGCCTGCCCCAGGGCCGTTGGCGCGGAAAAAGGGCCGTCGTAGTCAAAGATCTCCACGTCTAGTGTTGAGGGCGGGTCCTCAAACGCGTCAAAGGACAGCACCTCTGGAGGTATGGGGGAAGGGGATGGGGAGAGGAGAGGGGAGAGAGTTGGGGTGGGGGAAGGGGATGGGGAGAGGAGGGGGGAGGGAGTTGGGGTGGGGGAAGGGCTTGTTGCCCTCCCAGCAGCAGCACCCAGAGGTCTGAGAGCTCCTGGGCGCTCGATCTCACGAGGTCCACCTCTGCCTGCCCCAGGGCTGTTGGCGCGGAAAAAGGGCCGTCGTAGTCAAAGATCTCCACGTCTAGTGTTGAGGGCGGGTCCTCAAATGCGTCAAAGGACAGCACCTCTGAGGGGGAGTAGAGGGGTTGGAAATGAGAGACAATACAAAAGGAAGGAAGCAGAGGGAGTTGAGGGCTGAAAAAGGGCCACCTTCACACACACAACTCTGTTTGTACACCATCCACCTTCACACACACACAACTCTGTTTGTACACCATCCACCGACACACACATGTGCACACACCGTTCCACACCGGGCGGTTGGTCTGCAGCTTGACAGAGCTCGTGCGTGTCTTGCCATTACATGTGAACACCACATAGGGATCGCTCTTGCCGCCGAGTCCCCCTGCCTCCCCCACGCCCTCCCCTTGCACCAGCGTCACTGTCAACAGCCACCCCTCTCCCTCCGCCTTCTTCCCATGGTCCCCCCCTGGAAGACAAAGACAGGTGTGGGGAAGAGACAGAAAAGAAATCCTCAACCTCTGAGGGTTGCTCTTGCCCCACATCTTGCAGTACCTCTCAGCACCTCGCAGCACCTCTCAGCAATTGTGATTGCGTTTGGCAATAAGCACAATCGCAGCAGTGCAGAGAAGCCCCACCAGCACATCTGGTAGGTCGAGCAGCAGCAGCACCCACACCCCTGGCATGCCCCTTTCTCCCCCACACACTTACGCACACACACACACACACACACACACACACACACACACTCGCTTTTCAAGAGCCGCGAGGTGATAACATTCCTCAATCGGAAAAGCGCCCTCTCGACACAGCAGAGAGCACAATTACAGCCGTGCACAGCAGCTCCATCACCCCATCAGGCCGGTCCAGCAGCAACAGCTTGCATCCCTGGCACTGGCAGGCCGCCCTACACTACTCCCTTCTCCCTCTTTTCCCACTCCCCATTTCCCCTGATCCTTCCCTTATTACTCACTTCTTAGAAGCCGTGAAGTGATGATATTCCTTAGACGAAACAGAGCCCTCTCAGCAGAGAGCACAATGACAGCCGTGCACAGCAGCTCCATCACCCCGTCAGGCAAGTCCAGCAGCAGAAACTGCACGCCTGGCAGGCCCTTGGCGCGCTGTATGAAGTGCGTGGGGAGCACTATAAGGGAGACAAAGAAGAGCAGCATGGAAAAGTGCCCAAGGATATTGAACAGCCGAGCCATCAGGGGCTGCTTCGGCGGAGGCTCGGGGAGGAGGGCAGATGCGGAGGAGGAGCCGAGAGGGGTGGTGGCAGGTGCAGCGTATTTGGACAGGATCTGTGGGGACAGGGGAACAGAGAAACGAGGGAGGACACGGAGCATGTTTGTTGTGAGTCGATTCAGGGAATCCACCTGGCATCAAGCTACGGCACAGAACTGCATGGTGAGTCAGCACTGTGTCAGCAGTTGTCAGCATTGAGTCAGCAGTTGTCAGCAGCGTGTCAGCAGTTGTCAGGACTGTGCTACGTTCTGATACGTGACGTACAGTCCTGATAAGTGACGTACGTTCTGATAAGTGACGTATGTGTCCTTGAGGGTGTTTTTGAGAATTCTCAAAAACAACCAGCGCACGTCTTTTCTTGCGCCATGGTAAGTGACGTATGTGTCCTCTTCGGCCAGAACGCATGCCGTTTTTAATCATGCTCTTCATCTGTTGACCAGCGCACATATCTCTAACCACCTGGAAGTCTGTGCACATGTGTTACTGTCTGGTTACCAGCACACTCCTGTTTCTCACCGTCTGGTAAGCAACGTAGGTGTCTTTGAGTCCCGAGCGCATGCCGTTCTCGATCATGCCCTTCATCATGGTGCTCTGCAGGAAGCACGGCGCCCATGACACACGCAGCTGGCAGCTGCTGCCGTCTGCGATCATGTTCAGGGGGGCACGGGGAGTGGGTGGAAAGGAAACGTCTATCAAGCTATTACAGAGACATGACTGCAGGAAGAGAAAGGGCAGCAGAGCTAGCTACCCCACCTGGTGCAGGTGTCATCTGAACCATCTCACCTGGTGCAGGTGTCATCTGAACCATCTCACCTGGTCCCGGTGTGATGCAGAACTGCATTTCAGTGCGGAACGTGTTGCCATACGGCACGTCAGGCGTGGGGGAGTGGAGGGAGGGCAAGAGAGAGGTGGTACCTGGTGACGGTGTGATGCAGAACTGCATTTCAGTGCGGAACGTGTTGCCATACGGCACGTCAGGCGTGGGGGAGTGGAGGGAGGGCAAGAGAGAGGTGGTACCTGGTGACGGTGTGATGCAGAACTGCATTTCTGTGCGGAACGTGTTGCCATACGGTACGTCAGGCGTTGCCACATACACCTCCACCAGATAACCCCCCGCGTCTGCCCTGCTGTAACGCATCAGCTCTGTAGCGAGTACAGACTTGACCAAAGAGGAGGGCGCAGTCATGTATCGGACTACCCGCGAGCTGATTGGAGGAGAGGCGGGCGAGTTGGCCGTTGTGATGGTGGCGGGGAGGGAGTCGGCTAGGGAGGGAACTGCAGCCGCATCACCTTCAATCCAGGGTCCTGTTTCAAGCTGAGATACCTTGCGCTCTGCAGGGATAAGGGGGAAGTAGAGAGAAGGAGAGACAGCAGGGTAGTGTTTCGGCTTGGTTAGACGACGAGACGATTTGACTGAGCCCCATATTATCGGCCTTAAGCTTACACCCTTCAATTTACATGGAAAGGGAAAAGCATCAAATTTGGTGCATTCTCTCCTCGTCTAGCTCACCTAGCCCTGTACCGCCCCTCGCTGCACTTTCCTCAACAGCCTCCTCCTCCCACCACACAAGTCAAGCCTATGCGGACGATTGCAGAGTCAATTCAGCACATACCTTTTCCTCTTGCACCCTTCCCACTGGCATTTCCTCCTGAACATCAAACCACACCACATCACACCGCGCCGCACAATAACGCACCACACCGCATCACACTACACCACACGGCACCGCATCTCACCGGCAGTGAACTCAGCATAGAAGTCGGAGTCAGGCTTGAAGAGAATCCCGTTCAGCTCATGGGCCGGCACGCCATACCACTGCTCCACCACCACCCCTCCCCCCAGCGCTGCCGGCATATCCCCCATAGAAGCCACCCCCTTAACATCCCCATCAAACCACGACAGCGGCACCAGGCTCTCCCCTCCGCCCAACCCCCCCACCGCCCCCGTCCCTTCCCCCTTCTCGCCCCCATCGTCCCCTGAACTTGCTCCCGAACCCCCACTTCCTGCCCCACCCCCCGTTACACTCCCGGATTTCGGCAGGGGAGACGCAGCAGCACCCTCCGTGCTCTTACTGGCCCTCACGGGGGCGTTTTCAGAGGAGGAGGAGCGGCGGCGCGGCAGGAAGGACGACACAGAGCGCTGATTCGGCAGCGCGTGCACCGGCCCCTGCTGCTGCTGCTCCGAGGCTCTGCGGGAAGCCTTCGAGGAGGAGGTGAAGCCAGACAAGCGCTGTCTCAGCCCCACGGACTTCGCTCCTGGAAAGACGACCTCGGTGTTTGCTGGGTCTTTAGAGGAGTGGTGGTGTGGAGGGGGGGTGTTGATGGTTGCGGCGTGGGGGAGGAGCGCCGAGGCGAGGGCGCTGTGGGGTATGGGGGAGGAGGATTCGTCGGAGGATTCGGATATGGTGCTGACGTGGCCGCGCATGGAGGTTTCGGATTTGGACTTGGAGGCTCCTGAGAGGGTGAATGAGTGGAAGAAGTGGGACTTGGAGGGGCGGGCAGGGGCGGAGGCGGAGTGCTGGATGGCGTGGGATGCTGCAGTGGTTGCTGGGTGCAAGTCGATGGAATGAGGTACGATCTGGGTGTCGGTGGGTGACGCAAGGTTGGCAAGGGGGGTTGATGCATCGCTCCTGTCTGAGGCAGGAGTAGGAGGAGCGGAGGAGGAGCTCCCCCCATTCAGTAAAGGAAGAGGTGCAGTGCTGTCGGCCTCAGCAGAGGAAGAACTCGTTGCAGGAGGCAGCGGGAGGGCCGGTGCAGGGGCAGGAGGCCGCGAGTCTGAAGCAGCAGGCGGCACCCCAGTCAGCATCAAAGGCCCAGAGTGGAAGGTGAGGGAGCCTGAAGCAGCGGAGGAGCAGGTGGAGGAGAGGGGCCCTGACAGCCAGAGTGACAGCGAGCCCAGCCCGCCAGGCGCGGACGCGGTCGAGTCAGCGGAGGAGGTTGGGGAATGTGGCTCGGAGGGAATTGTTGTGAGGCCCATCTGGTCCGGATGCAGGAGCTGGAAATTGGCTGGCGGGTTGTAAGCCGGGTCGACTGGGTTGGGGTGGTAGTTGTCGGGGGTGGAAGAGAGGGAGGATGGTGTGGAGGAGGAGGAGGTGAGGAGCGGGAGAGTTGGGGTGTGCGAGGTGGAGGGAGGGGTGATGGAGAATGGGGTGGAGGAGTAGGGGGAGAGGGCGGTTGAGCTGACAGGGCTGGCGGTTTGGGATTGAGCCGCGTGGGATACGAGGCCCCATAGTGAGACCTCTATAAGGATTTCGCCTGTGGAATGACGTTGCAATGGCGGTGGGGAGAAGGGGACGCGTGGGAATAGCGTTGAAAAAGTGCGCCGCACTTTGTAAGGATTTCATGGTTGAGCCACGCCCGTGATAAAGACGTGGAATGCGGTGATGAGGGCGTGAAATGCGGTGATTAAGGCGTGAAATGCGGTAATGTAAGGGTGATATGTCATGCCAAAGGCGTCAAATGGGCGTGCATTGCCGTAATAAAAGCGTGAAATGCCATGAGAACAGCGTGAAATATTGTAATGAACGCGCGAAAGCCGTAATACAGGCGTCAAATGTCGCGACGAAAGGCGTGACACGCGTCTGCTCCAAGCTGGCTGACGCCACGCCATGACCGAGGAGATAAGATCTCAACCGCTCACGAAATCCCGCAAGCAAGGTGTTTTTCATCATTCTCAAAACAACATTCAGAATACGCCACACACCTAATCCCGCAAACAGAGCCTTGCAGAATGAATAGTCTCTTGCGGACGACATCCAAAAGAAAGTTTGACTCCATATTTCTTGGTTCCGGGACATCTCTCAACATGAATAGCAGCTGCTCCTAGTTTCTGACCTGAGACGAAGGAGCGAGACCGCTCGCTCTTCTTCTTGAGCGGATACCACGTCGGCGGGAGACTCTTCCCTTCCGCAGCCGCCACCGCAGCTACCGGCACCGACATTTGACCCAGAAAATCCGCTTTTCCTAAGTAATCCTCGTCCCACACGGTCACGAGGAGAACATCCGTTTCAAGGTTATCCGTTCTAAATAGAAACTCCTCATTCCACGTCGGATTGAGGTTCTTATACACTGTGCTGCTGCGCGCTTTGCTCCGGCCGACCTGCATCCGCACGTACGGATCGCTCAGACCGTTGCTGTCCTTAGCTGCCAGGTTCCGAGCCTGAAGCAGCTGGACCTGCAGCTTCGCCCCCATCGTGAAAAGCAAATCTCGGTAAGTAATTGTGCTCGTAAGCTAGTCAAAACTGCACCGGAGAGTCAGCGGAGGGAAACTGAGCATTCCAGCTTCACATAACGCCTCAGTGGACGAGCTGACATCAGTAGACGTTCCCTACGTTGTCTGGGAGTGGCATTCCGACAAAAAAGGAACGTTGATGACCTTGAAACGCTTAGGCCTGCAGAATGCTAACCAAGCGAACAAAGCGAAAAGACCTAGGGAATGCATTCTAGGTTTCCAAGTTTGTCGTCGCAATCGAGCACACCAGCGAGAGCAGCGAGAGGGGTGCTGTACGGTACCAAAGTGTACAATCTAGGGTGCGATGAGGTTGAGAGGCATGCGCTGTGACAATCCCGAAGCTGAGAGCAAGCTGGGAATCGACGGTGACGATTGGACGGACGAGATTTCGTGTGGTGCCAAGTGAGTTTCGTTTCGTGTGAAAGCGGCATGGCGTCATAAACCAGGGCTGAAGCAGCCGCCATCTGCTCTGATTGGTTGACGGGTGCTTCCGCGACGCAGGTTGCGCTTCTGAAGATCATGTGCCCCTTGCTGCTCGGGTACTTGACTAGTTTCGCGTATAGATACACTAGCTCGCCCATCCAGCAAGAGGAACCAATCCATATGGAAACAATACCAGAATTGTGCTAAATTCTACAAGGCCTAATGTTAGGGCCTTCGAGCCCTGTGATTGTGCGAGCCCTGTGATAGTGTGCCCGATTCTACAAGCCCTGTGATTAGTGTGCACAATCCTAAAAACCCTGCTGTGACTGTGCCCCAGTAGTTAGTGTGCTCGATTCTGCAAGCCCTTGGTTAGTGTGCGCGATTCTAAAAGCCCTGCAGTTAGTGTGCTCAATTACGGTATACAATCCCTGTTGTTCATGTGCTTGATTCTACACCCGCTGTAGTTCGTGTGGTCAATTCTACAAACCCTGTAATTAGTGTGCTCGATTCTACAAGCCCTGTTGTCAGTGTGCTCAATTCTACAGGCCCTGTGGTTAATGTGCTCGTTTCTGCAAGCCTATGTACTTAGTGTGCTCGATTCTACAAGCCCTGTTGTTAGTGTGTGCTCAAAGTACAAGCGCTGCAGCTAGTCTGCTCGATTGTATGAACTCTGCAGTTAATGGCCTCGACTGTACGAGCTCTGAGATTAGTGTGACTGGTTCTACAAGCCCTGTGATTAGTGTGCTAGGATATACGGTACAAGCCCTGGTGTTATTGTGCTCCTGCAGTTAGTGTGTTCGATTCTGCAAGTCCTGTAGTAAGTGCTCTCGATTCTACAAGCCCTGTAGATAGTGTGCTCGACTCTACAAGCCCTGTTGGTAATGCGTCATGATGCACAGGACCTGCAACTTGTGCTCCCACTTCACCCCCCGGGGTATGCATGCCCCTAGGCACAACCCTGTGGTTAGTGTGCACAAGCCCTGTGGTTAGTGTGCACGAGCCCTGTGGTTAGTGTGCACGAGCCCTGTGGTTAGTGCGCACGAGCCCTGTGATTAGTGCGCACGAGCCCTATGGTTAGTGTGCACCAGTCCTGTGGTTAGTGTGCACGAGCCCTGTGGTTAGTGTGCACGAGCCCTGTGGTTAGTGTGCACGAGCCCTGTGGTTAGTGTGCACGAGCCCTGTGGTTAGTGCGCGAGAGCCATGTGGTTAGTGCGCACGAGCCCTGTGGTTAGTGTGCACGAGCCATGTGGTTAGTGCGCACGAGCCCTGTGGTTAGTGTGCACGAGCCCTGTGGTTAGTGTGCACGAGCCCTGTGGTTAGTGTGCACGAGCCCTGTGGTTAGTGTGCACGAGCCCTATCAAGTCCTATGGTTAGCGTACGCAGGGGGTCGCTGAGGTGGGTGGGCCGCATGGGGAGGAAGAGGGAGCGGCAATGCAGGGAGAGTGGGGTAAGGGACAGGGGGAGGGGGGTGTGGGGGGAGTCCGACGCAGAGGGGGGGGGGGGAGTGGATGGGATGGGGGGGAGGGAGGGGGTTACCGTACCTGAGAGCGTTACTAGTCTAGATATCCTACCAGTATAACCCATTTAAACTGGTTCAGCTCTAACCCATGTGGTCTTCATCCTACTGCCTTGGCCGCCACATGGAACTGCCTTGGCCGCCACATGGAACTGCCTTGGCCGCCGCATGGAACTGCCTTGGCTGCCACATGGAACAGCCTTGGCCGCCACATGGAACTGCCTTGGCTGCCACATGGAACTGCCTTGGCCGCCACATGGAACTGCCTTGGCTGCCACATGGAACTGCCTTGGCCGCCACATGGAACTGCCTTGGCTGCCACATGGAAACAAGTGGTTGTCCTGCAAACAAACAAGAGGGGTCAAGGCACACGAGCTTTGAGATTCACGACATGACAACATTAGATATGATTTGATGTGCTGTGTGTTGCCAAGATATGATGTACATGATTTGGGTACACACCCAATAATATGATATGATATGACATGACATGATATAATATGAGATGGTATGATATGATGCCATGCAATGCGATACAATGCGATGTGATGTGATATGATATTATATGATATGCTGTGTGTTTGGGTTGGATCGGACAATATTAAGCGGAGTAGGGGGTTTGTGCCAGGCGAGTGTGGTGCAGAAACCTATCAAGAAAGAAGGCTCAACTCACGGGCTATTCTCGTGCACCCTCGCACTCCGTTACTGCTACCAATCCGTTTCCCCCCCTACTATTTGATATCACATCTGAATGAGGACTCATGGGATGTAAAGGCAAGTGAAACCAAAGGAGAGGAACATGTGAAAAGTAAGACATGTAAAGAGGACATTGGAGAAAAAAAAAGAATTAAAAGGAACTTGAAGGCTGACATCGGGACCTTGGGGTAGAGAAGAAAAGGGTTGAGTCAGCAGTCTTACAATGAGAAGAGGATCATGTTGGCCTTGCCTCAGTTAGCCGTGCCTGAAGTCCGTCCCAAGCCACCAATGCCATCCTTGCCTGCAGGACTGAATGTAGGGAGGGAGGATATGAGTGCATTCATGAAAAAGGGGCATAAAGAAAAGCAAGGTATGCAAAGGCAGAGAGATGGAGGTCAGAGGAGAGAAGGCGGTACAAGGAGAAGCAACGGGAAGAAGAATGGCAATGAACAGCCGTCATCAAGAGCTCGGGGCAGAGGAGAGGAGGGTTGAGTTGCAGCCTTACTATGAGAAGAGGATCACGTTGGCCTTCTCTGACTTGGCCTTGAATGAATTCCTTCCCATGCCACCACTGCGGTCCTTGCCTGAAGGAGGAAACGCAGGGAGGGAGGAGGATAGGAGAGCAGCGCAGGTGGCACTCCGTTACTCCTGACAAGCCATTTCTCCGTTTCTCTGCACAAATTTACATCCGAAGGATAAAACATGAGAGGTAAAGCCATGTGAAAGCAAAGAAGAGGAAGAGGTTTATAGTAAGGAAAGTAAAGGGGACATCGGAGAAAATGAATATTCAAAGGCTGACATCGAGGCTTGGGGCCGAGGAGAAGAGAGTTAAGTGAGCAGCCTTACTATAAAAGGATGATGATCTGGCTTGTCTGACTTGCCTGAAGTCCGTCCCATGCCACCACTGCCATTCCTGGCTGAAGGGAGAGACACAAAGAGGGAGAAGGATATGAGAGGAGAGTAGGTGGCATGGAGGAAAGGAAGGCGGGATTGGAAGAAGCAGCGTGCATTTATGCGAACGTACCACAGAAAGAGGGCTCTGTTGATTCGCCTTTGCTTGTTGCCACTTGATAGCATTGCTGCTTCCTTGTCTCTGCTCCCTCTGCATCATCCTCAGCTTCCGAACATCAGGGACAGTAGCAGATCAACGACACAATGAGATGAAGAAGTGGCAAGAGAGATAAAGGCAAGTACAGGGGGCTAGGTAATAAGGCAAGTAAAGGGGGCTAGGGAAGAAGTGAGTGGGAGGCAAGAAAAAATTTGTGTAGAGGGAAGCTAATGTGGAGATGGACAGGTGAGAGTGAAGCGGAGTAGTAAATGGCTTTCAGAGCATTGAAGGAAGGAGTCACAGGGAATACAAAGGGTAAGGAAGGGACTTACCACATTACAATCCTTCTCCCTCATCTCTGCTCCCTCTTGTCTGCTCCCTCTTGTCTGCTCCCTCTGCGTCATCCTTGGCTTCCGAATGTCTGGGACAGTGGCAAATCAACAACTTACGTGAGATGAAGGAGTGGCAAGAGAAGATGAAGGCAAGTACAGGCGGCTAGTGAAGAAGGCAAGTAAAGGAGGCTATGGAAACCAAACGAAGATGAAAGGAGGAGGATAGAATACAAGGGCAAGAGAGAGATCTTACCACGACTGCTGAAGCAACGTCTTGTCCTCTTGCGCTTCCTCTTCTTCTGCTCTGCTTCATGTGCTTCCTCCTTTCCTCCGCATGGCCATCCTCAGCTCGTTTCCTCCTCTGATTTTGCCACGACACTCCTACAACTTGCATTCAAGGCCAAACAGCCTACAACCCACAGCCTTTAGGCTACAGTCTCTGGCCTACAGCATGTATTATGCCTAGAGATAGAGCAAACAGCATACATCCTACCAACTATACAAGACATAGAGATAGCCTATAGCCTATAATAGCAGAACAAGGGTTAGAGCAAATAACCTTATTTTTCATAACTTCCTTCACACAGACCACAAAGCAAACATTCCAAGCATAGTTTCATTGCTTGCTTGTTCATTATCCCTTTATGCATGCCCTCTAGTTAGGCGCTGCCCTGTAGTCAGAGTGGGGTTAGCGTACCTGTAGTTTGGCGCTGCCCTGTAGCCAGGGTCTTGAAGTGTCAGTTGGAGAGCTGCCTTGCATGCGCCAGGGTGCTGGCACCAGCAACATCAACAGCAGCAACCATTCGCTCCATCGCTCCCTTCCACACCGAATGAGTTTGCGCTGTTGGGATGGGATGGGTATGGGGAGGGGAGGAGTAGGTACAGAGGTGAAAGAGAAGGGAGAAAAAGTGAGCGAGCAAACGTAGGGCAGAACTGGACAGCAAAA